CAGGAAGACACAATTAAAGCATCCCTGACAGATGGCCATCCAGCCTTGTTTAAAAACCTCTGGAGAAGGAGACCTCATCACACTCCAAGGCAGCATATTTCACTGTTGAGCAGCTCCAACTGTCAGGAGGTATTTCCTACCATTTAGGTGGGGCCAGGCTTAGCACAGCAGGCTAAACCACTGTGCTGATCAAAACGTCTGCAGTTCAAGCCTGGGTCAGGGTGAGCTCCTGTCATTAGCCCCAGCTCACCTGCCCATCTAGCAGGTTGAAAGCAGAAATGTGAGTAGATAAAATAGGTACCACTTTTGGTGGGGAGGTAATAAAGACACCCTTAAGGACATCAATTAGAGCAATTCCCCTCAGCATGGAAGATAGGGTGAGAGCCCCCCCCCCCCCCACCCAATGGCCAGAGTCAAGAACAGCCTTCAAGGTACTAGAAATAAGATGGAAAAAACTGCATTTACCTCTGTTTGTGTTGTTTGTCCTTGTTAAGTGCATTGAATGTTTGCCATATGTGTGTTCTGTAAGCTGCTCTGAGTCCCCTTGAGGTGAGAAGGGTGGGGTATAAATACTGTAAATAAATAAACTGTAAATAAACTCTCTGTCTGTAGTTTGAATCTATATCCTGGTCCCTAGCAGCAGAAAACAACCTGACCCCATCTTTTGTTTTCATTTCTTTTTCACTAAGCAAGAAATGGAAGATCATGCCTCCATTGATCCCATATGACTTTAGGATATATGAAGCACTATGTTTCAAAGGAAGACTTTGCCCAACCTTCTGCAGACTCCAATTCTGTCTTCCAGGCCTGAAGTAGCACAAAAGCTTTAGGGGTCTTATGCAAAGGCAGTGTCTTCCTGTGTCCCTCCTCATGCTCAAGTCCTCGAATTATTGGCAAAACCGCTTTGCCCAGGGCACAACTTCTACAACGTTTTTCATCCTTTGAAGGTCTGGCTGGGTCTATACAGGAGTTTAATCAAGTTCTCAGCAGTGGAAATAAAATCCTGCCTAACCACCGAGAGTGCTGTTTCACACCTGTGATCAAACTACAGCTTCTGGAAGATGAAAAATCAGTTCTAAAATGGGGACTATTTCTACCTGCAAAACAATTCCTTATTTTTAATTCTTTGACTGGACAACTTTTTATAAGGGCAGCCATCATTGCAGCAGCAGGAGAAACAGCAGGGAAACCAGACGAAATGTTCACATCTTGTTTTTCAGTGCCTCTGTTTTTTAGTGTCTGTTCAGCAAATTCTGTTCGGATAACCCTGAGCATGAAGATTCAACTCCCTCTGCATCTCAAACTGGTAAAATTACTTGCTTTTTCTGTTATATCTGTAATCTGTAATCACACCAAGTATGGAAGCCAACTGTTATTCAGACAACTACACTGTGATAACAAGAGAAGAGAAATCCTAGTTCTAACTATATAGGCTGAAGAGGTCAAGAGCCATGCCTGCCCTTAGGACAAAGTCAGGATGTCTTCTGCTCCTTAGGATGGAAAGAAACTCAAGCTGGAATGTATCCACAGGAGAATGGCTGAAATGGTAGGCTATCCAGTTCTACTTAGCACAATTCAAGAAGGATATTGACCAGCTGGAATGTGTCCTGAGAAGGGCAACTGAAGTGATCAAAGACCTGGAATCCAAGCCCTATGAAGAGCAGATTAGGGACCTGATTCAATATTCAATATAATTTATTTATATTGCACCCTATCTCCCCAAGGCGACTCAGGGTGGATTGCAGTACACATATATGGCAAACATTCAATGCAATTATACAATTAACAAAGAAAGACAGCACATAAACAGAGAAGGCTTCCCATCTTTTTCCATCTCTGGCATCTGGTAGCTGTGATTTACTCCGACCACAGCAGTGGGGGAAGGGGTGGGGGGTGGGGAGCTTTGTTGTCCTTAGATGCTCTCCTGATCGAATTGCTGGCATGTCTGCATGGGTGCCTTTTATTACCTCCCCACAAAGTGGTACCTATTTATCTACTCACATTGCTGTTTTTGAACTGCTAGGTGAGCAGAAGATGGGCTGACGGTTGGGAGCTCACCCCAACCCGTGGTTGAACTGTTGACTTTTTGATAGGCAAGATTTTCTGCAGCTGGTGATTTAACCTTCTATTGTAATGCCCTGGTTATGTTTAGACCAGAGAAGAGAAGGTTAAGAAGGGACATGCTAGCACCGTTTAAATATTTTAAAAGATGTCATATTGAAAAAAAAAAGATATTCAAAATTGTTAATGGCAGTCTATGTTTACAATTAAAGGCTATGCACTCCTACTCACTTGTTCTGATATATTGGGTGATTACCGCTTAGAGTCGCCTTGTTGGCTGATATAGGCGGTATACAAAAGGAGTAAATAAATAAATAAATAAATAATATTCTAAAAGGTAAGGTAAAGGTAAAGGTTTTCCCTGACAGTAAGTCTAGTTGTGTCCAACTCTGGGGGATGGTGCTCATCTCCATTTCTAAGTCAAAGAACCAGCATTGTCCATAGACACCTCTAAGATCATGTGGCCAGCATGACTTGCATGGAGCACTGTTACCTTCCCGCAGAAGCGGTACCTATTGATCTACTCACATTTGTATGATTTCAAATTGCTAGGTTGGCAGAAGATGGGGCTAACAGTGGGAGCTCACCCCACTCCCCAGATTCGAACTGCCAACCTTTTGGTCAGCAAATTCAGCCGCTCAGTGGTTTAACCCTCTGTGCCACCAGGGAGCCCTAAAAAGTATCAGATCCTATTTTATCTTGGAAGCTAAGTAGGAGCAGAATTCTGGGGTTTGTAATTTAGGAAGAGGCTTTTAAACTGTTCACCAAAAGAAGCCCTGGGCCTCCCTAAACTACAATCCCCAGAATTCTGCAAGAAGCAGTCACAGCATTTAAAGTGGACTGACGTAGGAAAATGCTCAAGTGTGATGAGGCCCTAGAGATGTCTTGCAGCAACGGTATGTGATGTTCAGGACCATGGACAGCAGCTGTGGCGAAAACAAGTGTTACCATTGCAGCCAAAGGAGCTGAGCTGCCCTTGGTGCTGAATTATTCTCTTCCTCCAAAATTTTGCTACAAAGAAGCAAGAATACAATGATTATGTTTCCCAAAAGCAACCATTGTCTTCAAAACACTGGGAGAAATGAGAGCAGATATGAAAACACTCTATCCATTCCTGTACTTTGGTATAATACACTATACGAAATACTGGATCTCAAATGCATGAAATTTTGGGGATCAGGCCAAGTATGTGTATATTTATCTTTTGTCTACAATCTCTCCAAGACGGGGGATTCTGGGAATTGCCCCCCCCTCTTTCTCATTTCTCTATCTATCAGGCATGTAGCCGGGGGGGGGGGGGGGCTCGGGGGGCTTCAGCCCCCCCCCCCCCGAAATTCTCATGGTGGTTCGCGAAAAGGCCTTACTGGTGCATTATTTAAACTGTTATGTTTATTCATATCATGATCTGATCACCATACTCAATATATCCCATATGCATGGGGGTATTGGGGTAATGATACAAAACGTTTGCTAGGCTAGACCCTCTTTCACTCAGACTCAGCCCCCCCCCCGAAACCCCCCTGAAAAGATTCAGCCCCCCCCCCCCCGAAACGAAATCCTGGCTATGGGCCTGTATCTATCTATCATCTATCTCAGGCTTGTGCAAACTTGGGCCTTTCAGGTGTTTTGGACTTCAATTCCCACTATTCCTAACAGCTTCAGGCCACTTAAGTGGGTGAGGGAAAAAGGAAAGGGCCCGAGGCTGTTAGGAATTGTGGGAGTTGAAATCCAAAACACCTGGAGGGCCCAAGTTTGCTCATGCTTGATTTAAATATCTACCTACTTATCTACCTATCTTTTGTGATATCTACCTACCTACCTACCTACCTATCTTCTGTGATATCTATCTATCTATCTATCTATCTATCTATCTATCTATCTATCTATCTATCCATCTATCCATCTATCCATCTATCCATCTATCCATCTATCCATCTATCTTCTGTGATATCTATCTACCTACTGTGATTATCTATCTTCTGTATATCTACCTACCTACCTACCTACCTACCTACCTACTGTGATTATCTTTCTATCTTCTGTGATATCTATCTGTCTACCTACCTACCTTCTGTGATATCTATCTATCTATCTATCTATCTATCTATCTATCTTCTGTGATATCTATCTGTTTGCCTACCTACCTACTTCTGTGATACCTATCTATCTATCTATCTATCTATCTATCTATCTTCTGTGATATCTACTTACACACCTTATGTGATATCTTTCTTTCTTTCTATCTATCTATCTTCTGTGATATCTATCTCTATCTATCTATCTATCTATCTATCATCTATCTATCTTCTGTGATATCTACCTACCTACCTTATGTGATATCTATCTATCTATCTATCTATCTACCTATCTACCTATCTACCTACCTATCTTCTGTGATATCTGTCTATCTTCTGTGATATGTACCTACCTACCTTATCTGATATCTAGTATCTATCTTCTTTGATATCTATACATCAACCTACTTACCTACCTACCTATCTATCTTCTGTGATATCTATCTATCTATCTTCTGTGATATCTACCTATCTACCTACCTATCTTATGTGATCTATCTATCTATCGTCTGTGATATTTATCTAACTACCTACCTATCTTCAGTGATATATCTATCTATCTACCTACGTACCTATCTAACTTCTGAGATATCTATCCATCCATCTATCTAGCTATCCCTATCTATCTATCTATGTTCTGTGATACCTTCCTCCCTATCTATCTTCTGTAATATCTATCCTATCCTATCTAGACAGATAGGATTTGATATCTATGTTCTGTGATACCTACCTACCTTCCTCCCTATCTTCTGTGATCTATCTATCTATCTATCTATCTATCTATCTATCTATCTATCTATCTATCTATCTATCTATGCCCGACAGGCCCCTCCCACCGCTGTTTCCTCTCCTCCTCCTCCTCCTCCTCTCCCTTTGGCCTCGGCGGCGCGCGCGGCGGTGGCTGGTGCTGCTGGCGTCGGGGTCGCGCTTCCCTTGGCGCATCCTTCCTTTCCTTCCTTCCTTCCTTTCCTTCCTTCTTTCCTTGCTTGCTTGCTTCTCCGCCGGGCAAGGACTGGCGATGGCGCCGAGCCGCCCGCTGCTGGCGCAGTGCGTGTGCTCCTTCTTCGCCTTCCTCTTCTCCTTCATCGTGGTGGTGCCTCTCTCGGAGAACAGCCGCGACTTCCGCGGGCGCTGCCTTCTCTTCGCCGAGGGCCTCTGGCTCAGCGCCAACCTGACGGCGGAGCGGCAGCGCTTCACGGTCCAGGAGTGGGGGCCCGAGCCCGCCTGCCGCTTCGGCCTCGCCGCCGGACTCCTCTCCCTCCTCCTCGCCGCCGCCCAGGCCTGGCGGAGCCTCTTCTTCCTCTGCAAGGGACACGAGGAGTAAGTCCAGGCAGAGAGACGCGGTGGGAGGGGTGGGCTTTGAAAGGAGGGAGTCCCGGCCATCCCCTCAACCCCAAGGCCGGGGTGCCTGTGTGTGTGCACGCAGGGGAAAGAGAGGAGAAGCCGGGGACGTGCTCTTCTCCCTTCCCTCTTCTATGAGTCTATGCTTAGGTGCCCCTCTTCCACTGCCAGGGCTCAAGGCTCCCCATCTCAAGTGCTGTCCATGTACAAGGCCTTCAGCCTTCAGCATTCCCTAGCATTGAGCCAGGGCCATTCAAGTCATGCCCAGTCATCTACAGCGGAGACCCACTCTTGCCTGCAGCCTCTTATGATGAGGAGGATAATGATTATGTATTGCCTGCCTCACCTTGGGAATCAAGGCAGGGTAGAACATGATTAAAACAGTGGGACGAAACAAGGCACTAATTAAAATACATGTCACAAGCATACACAGGTGTAATGCGGGTTAAAATTCACACCTTGCCCTATCTTACTGGTATGTGGTCTACACTGAATAATAATAATAATAATAATAATAATAATAATATACTTTATTTGTATTCTGCCCTATCTCCCCGAGGGGACTCAGGATGGATTCCAGCATACACAACACAAAAGCAAACATTCAATGCCTAGAAACAACAAAACACAGATACAGGTAAAGGCTTCCCCTTCTGGCTCTGGGGGGGGGGTGGGGGTGGCGCTCATCTCTGGCTCTGGGTGTGGTGCTCATCTCCATTTCTAAGCTGGAGAGCCTGCATTGTCTGCAGACACCTCCTAAGTCATGTGTCCAAATGACTGCACGGAGCGCCGTTTACCTTCCCGCTATTTCTCTACTCACATTTTTGAACTGCTAGGTTGGCAGAAGCTGGGGCTAACTATGGGAGCTCACCCCACCCTGCAGATTCGAACCATCAACCTTCCAATCAGCAAGTTTAGCAGCTCAGTGGTTTAACCCATTGTATCACTGTGGCCCCTACTGACCCCTCATCCCAGGGCAATCCAGCGTTGCACATGCAGGATTGAGCTTGATATGGGTCACACAGATTCAAACTACCAACCTTCCAGTAAGCAAGTACAGCAGCTCAGAGGTTTAATACATTGCACCACTATGGCCCCCACTGACCCCTTATCCCAGGGCAATCTGGGGCTAACATTTGGAGCTCACCCCGTCCTGCAGATTTGAACCAGCAAGCCTCCAGTCAGCAAGTTCAGCGGCTCAGCAATTTAACCTGTTACACCACCATGGCCCCCACTGACTCCTTATCCCAGGTCAATCTGGGGCTAACAGCAGAAGCTCACCTCGTCCCACAGATTCGAACCACCAGTCTTCCAGTCAGCAAGTTTAGCAGCTCAGTGGTTTAACTCATTGTACCACTGCGGCCCCAATTGACCCCTTATCCCAGGGCAATCTGGGGCTAACAGTTGGAGCTCACCCCATTCTGCAGATTCGAACAACCAACCTTCCAGTCAGCAAGTTCAGCAGCTCAGTGGTTTAACCCGTTGCACCACCATGGTCCTTACTGACCCCTTATCCCAGGGCAATCTGGGGCTAACAGTGGGAGCTCAATCCCATCCTGCAGATTCAAACCACCAACCTTCCAGTCAGCAAGTTTAGCAGCTCAGCGGTTTAACCCGTTGCACCACTGCGGCCCCCCACTGACCCCTTATCTCAGGGCAATCTAGTGTAGGACATATTGGATTGACCTTGATATGGGTCACACTGTCACTCCCTGGTCACTGTTCAGGTGGGAGTCCCAACTTCCCCATGGTGCTGGACCAGGGTTCCCTCCTTATTGTTGCATCCCATTCTCTGTGTTGTGATGATCCCTGGACACAGCATGGATCCTCTCTGTCAGCTGTTACCTGCAGTGATGTCAGCAAAGGGATAGGGCAACAAGGAGGGAAAAGGAATCACCCCTCCTCTCCTCCCTCCCTTCTCCAATCACTATGTTGTCCTGGCCACCGTCACTGCGGATGATGGCCAAGTGGCAACATCATCCGCAGCTTGAGTCCATTCAGCCAAACCGAATGGGAGGAGACTGCAAGTGCCAATCCATCTTCCCAGGCCTCCCAAGCCCAGGAGGCATGGATTGGCAATGTAAACAACTATGTCTGGTTTGTCTTGGAACCAATCCAAGTGTCTATATCAGGCATGGGCAGATGTCAATCTTCCAGGTATTTTTGGACTTCAACTCCCACAATTCTTAACAGCCGGAGTTCAAATCCAGAACACCTGAAGGGAACCTGAGTCAAGGCCATATTAAGATAGCCTTGCCCTGCATTACCTCAGATCAATTCTATGCAGCATTTGGCCACCATGGACTTGATCTGAGACCCTTTGGCCTTAAGTGGTCAGTGTAGATGCATTCTCTGAAAGGTCTTAATATAGGTTGAGCATTCCTTAGCCATAATGGGACTTGAAGTGTTTTTGGATTTTTTTTCCAGATTTTGGAATACCTGTGTTTACCTATATCATGAGATATCTTTTAGATGGGACTCAAGCACTGAAAATCATTAACATTACCTTCTAGGCATAGCCTTCAGGGAGTTATACTGTATTTTATAACCCCCAGGTTTCCATAGAACAGAAACATGGCCATCTGGGCAGATCAGTGTGAGTGAGGTTATGAACTGTGCTGGTCTGAATTATGGTGGGATTTTAGGAATGCTTCATCCCAAATCTAGCTCATCCTCGAGTCTTTTTATGCAAACCTGGAAAGATTAGTCTAATTGTTCTGTTCCTCATAATCTGATTTGATATTTTTTACATTCATAATAACCTTTTCTTGGTTTTTTCTTGATTGTTTTCCAATCCCATCTTTTCTCCAAAGATCTCAGGACAGCATATAGGGCTTTCTTTCAGAGTTTATTTTCACTGGCATAACCTGTAAAGTAGTTCAGGCTGATATTTAGATTAAGATGACCAGTGCCACTCAGACCCCTTCTTTACTGCCATGTAATCCAGATGATCAAAGCACATGATCCACATTACCTGCTTTGATCTGAATTATATGAGTCCACACTGCCATATAATCCAGTTCAAATCAGATAATTTCAAATCAGGATTTTATATGGCAGTGTTGAAGGGACCTCAGTGAGTTTTATGGCTTCATGATGATTTGAATGTGAACAACTCAAGTTCTGGTTCCTCACTCTAGCCCTCTTGGTTTCATAAGGTAAAGGTAAAATTTTCCCCTTGACATTAAGTCTAGTTGTGCCCGACAATGGGGTGGTGGTGCTCATCTCCATTTCTAAGCCAAAGAGCTGCCGTTGTCTGTAGACACCTCCAAGGTCATGTTCCCGGCATGACTGCATGGAGCATCGTTATCTTACCACAGAAGTGGTACCTATTGATCTACTCACATTTGCATGTTTTTGAACTGCTAGCTTGGCAGAAGCTGGGGTTAACAGTGGGAGCTCATCCTGCTCCCAGATTCGAACCAACGACCTTTTGGTCAGCAAGTTCAGCAGTTCAGCTATTTAACCTGCTGCGCCACTGGGGGCTCCACTGGGCTCTGGGGCTCCGAATTTTCATTGTTTTAAGGAAAATTCATTATATGGTTTCATACAATTAATGAATTTTAATAAAAATAATGCTAAAGGTAGTTAACAACACTCAAAACATCTAATCCTTATAAGCAAAGAAGTAATATCATAGAAAAGATGAAAATGGTTAGTGAGTAAAAACATGATTATTTCAAAGTTGAGAATAAAACACAAAGTCACAGGAAAAGAACAGTGCCGTAAGTCATAAGCTTATTTAAAACACTTGCCTGCTAGAATAACCACTTTATGTAAAAAGTTCCAAAGTCTAGGGGCAACTAAGAAGGACATTTTCATATGTATTTGAGTAACCATGAAAAAGGATCATTACAGAACTATGGAGAGTACCAATGCTCTTGTTTTTTAAAACTATTTGCTTCTAAGGGTATATCTATGGTTCAAGCCTATGGAATTATGAGAGTTGTTGTTTTACAAGGTCTTCAGACTTCTCTGTCAAGAGTGCTGGTGCCTCAACAGACTACAAATCCCTGGATTCTACGGCCATGACAATTAAATTACATTACTTCTGCAGTGTAGTTGTATCCTCTGTTGGAGTGTGATGCAATTTTGCCATGTTTTAGATCTCTCCAGGCTGTTTCAGGCCCAGAAAAAATATTTAACAGAACTCAGCTTCTGGGGTACTCTTCTGTTATATAAAGGCCTCTCCTTGCCATACAGCAAACAGATGGGTATATATATGTGTTTGTACAGCTACTGTGCTAATTGCATTCTACACTCTCTGATGGATGTGTGGAAAAGGTTTCTAGATACAAATCTTTGATGTGTTGGAAGTTCTTGTATGTGGCCTATCATCCACATTTTCCTTACTTTTGAGTGACCTCGTTGTGTGACTTAGGCCTGGGACACCATTTAGTTAACCTATGAATTCATCCCAGACTATCCCAAAGCAAAGTTGTAAGAGAATATAAAGCCAGACCACACATATGACAGCATTGTCTGCAGAGTGCACAGTTCCAGATGTCTGGAAGCAAAAACTCAATCATACGTCTATAATAGAACATGCAAGCGATCTCCATGGAGATGCAGAAACAGAGCAGTGTTAAAATGACATATTCTGTAAATCTGACATTTTAGATGTGTTGCAATTAAACTCAGCATGCCCTAAGTTTTCTTGGATGAAGAGGGCTTTAGTCAAGAAAATTGAACCACTGCAACCTACACTGGATAGTACAGGCAGAGATGGAGAACATAAACGGGGCTTCATTTGCGAAGCCTACTGTGGCCCATGAAGCTATGAGTAGGGGGAGAAAAACTACTTCATGAAAACATCCAGACTTTAAATTCAGCCTCAAAGACCCTCTTTTAAACCCCCCTGTCCTTAGACATGTGGTAATTTCATTTATTAGTTTTGGTGCAAAACACTTCTGTGCTACCCTTTAGGCAAGGTTCCTCAATCTAAAAACAGAACCTTGTGAACAGTGGCACTGTCCTGTTGGGGTTTTCTTCCCAAATAAATTTCTCTAAGGCCATTCTTGCTTTCTTTTAGGAAAAACCAAACCAAAACACACATCCTGCTGCTCAGCACCACAATCTCTGATCCACATTTCAAATATTTTAGACATCATTTTCTGCAGATTCTGTCTGTTTTGTTGTTGTGTGCTTTCAAGTCACTTCTGACTGATGCTAACCCTATCAGTCTACTGGCTGACCTTGGGCAACCACACTCTCACCACCTTAGAGGAAGGCAAAGGCAAAAGCCCATCTCAATGAATGTTGCCAAGAAAACCCAATCATTAGGATTCTCCTTAGGGTTGCCATAAGTAAAAAATGACTTAAAGGCACACAGCAAAAACAAATACGTGTCTGCTTGGACAGGTCCCTAAGATCTTTGGGGAGGTTTTCTCTCCATCCCACCACCTTCACAAGCATGGCTTCTGGGAAACAGAAGAAGGCCTTCTCAGTAGCTGCTCCTGGGCTATGGGAGACAATAACAACAAAAATAGCAACAACACTTTATTTATATTCCATCCTTCTCCCCAAGGGGACTCAGAGCGGATTACAACATGCGTATAAACAAACACAGGCAAATATTCAATGCCTTGTTACAAATGGAAATAAAAAGACAAAGGAAAGGGCTTCTTCTTTCATTTCCAGCTCTGGAGGCGGTGCTCTTCTCTGGCTCTGGGGGAGATGCTCTTCTCCATTTCTAAGCTGAGGAGCCTGTATTGTTGTAGACACATCTTGGTTGTGTGGCTGGCAAGATTGCTTGGAGCATCCCTTTGCCTTTTTCTGCCGAAGTGGTACTTATTTATCTACTCACATTTGCATGTGTTCAAACTGCTTGGTTGGCAGGAGCTAGGGCTGACAGCAGGAGTTCATCCCATCTTGCGGATTTGAACTGCCAACTTTCAGGTCAGCAGATCAGCAGCATAAGGGTTTAACTCATTGCAGCACCACGGTCTCTATCCAACGTGGCCCCTATAGAATGACAGGCTTTTGGGAACTGAAGGTTTTTAAAGAAAGCACTTTTAAGAGGGCACATGATGGGTCTGAATGTACTATTTTAACACTGCTGTTGAAATGGTTTTTAATGCTCTCTTTTAAATACCATTTCAGTGCTATTAGTTTGTATGTTTTAACCTGCTGGATATGCTCTAGCTGGAGATGGTGCATTGAGTAGGAGTTGGACCTGACAACCCACGAGATCCATTCCAATTCTGTGATTCTAAGTATCTTTTACACTCATTTAGAAGTCTAGAAATTTTAAACAAAAATCAACCCCAAAATCCGAGTCGATGTATCCATGTATCTATGTGGTACCTGAAGTCCCACCAAACAACTATTTAAAATCACATTTTGATGGTGTTACCTCAATATCTTGATTACATAGACTGTCAAACTGATGTTATGTCTATAATAAAAATGCTAACACCGGAAATTAGATATAGAACAATGTAAGTAATTGCACAGTAATGTTCTGTATCTGCTTAAATTGTCTGCTTTGCAGAGGAACAGAGGCTGAAAAATGGAGACACTGCAGTTTTGAATCCTACATGAAAGCAAAATGAGAATCACATTTTTTTCTCTCTCTCCCCTCCCCATCTCTGTGGTTTGTGAAAGAAGTGTGTGCACAAAACAGACTCTTTTTCTATCTCTTTTGTTTATAAAAACAAAGTACCTCCTTCTAAATTCTTCAGCTGTTGTTAAGTGTCATTAAGTTGACTATAAGAACTTATGGTGAACCCATGAACTAAAGTCCTCCAAATCACCCTAGAAGTCACTTCCAAACTCAGGTCATGCAGACTCAGGGATCTGGCATCCTTGACTGGGTCCATCCATCTGGAATCTGTTCTTCCTCTTTTCTGACTGCCTTGTGTCTTACCAAGCATTGCTGTCTTTTCTAGTGAGTCATGTCTTCTCATTTTGGCTTCTAGGGAATAATCAGGCTTGATTAATTTGGGTTTTTAGCAGTCCATAGAATCCATAGAACTCTTCTCCAGCACCATGTTTCAAATAAGCTGTTTTTCTTCCCATTAGCTTTCCTCATTGTCTTGCAGTCACAACAATACATCGACATGGGGAATATGATGGCATTTTGCAAGCACAAGCACAATTTAAACCCTTATATTACACAACACTGAGGCAGTCCCTGAGTCACAAACATCTAACTTATAAATGACTCATAGTCAAGAACAGGGATAAAACAACAGAAAGTGAGATAAATCTACCCCTCAGAAGGGAAAGTCACTCCTGGAAGAGTTCATATCATGAGAAAGAGGTGTCTCCACTGAAGCGTTATCACTATTCCTTGTTTCCACAACATGCCATTTTTTTCAAAATCCAATCCTCACAGGGACAGAAAGTGTGGTGAAATCTTCTAAACAGGGGCACAGACAGCAAAACAAACACTGCAGGGGTGTTCACCCTTCCCTATGCTATCCAAAGATATATATGGCTGTAGTTACACTTTAAAAAGTATCTGTTCTGACTTACATACAAGTTCAATTTAAGAATAGTCCTACATAACCTATTTTGTTCATAAATTGGGGACTGCTTGCATACTAAATTGGACACATTTGTATTGTCTTTGAGGTTCCATGCATCGAAGGAGGTTCTAGTGCAGGACTTGACTGCAGACCCCTTTTCCCTTAGCTATTCAGCCCCAAAAACTGCTCTTGACTTCTACTTGAAGTCAACTTATACATGAGTATGTATGATATAATAGTTGTCACTCTTGGATTCATGATCTGATATTACTGTATATTTTCCTCCCTCTCAAATTCTTTACTTTGGTTAATGAAAAGTAAAAGCTCCCAATTCAAACTGAATATAAAACCACTTTAAAAAAAACAAAGAAGATATTATAATGTTTCTAAAGGTAGAATGAGATCAAAGCATGGGTTAATTTGAAGCGTGTTTCAGTTAGAACAAGGCAAAGAAGGAAGCAAATGCTTCTTAAACCCAAATCTGTCACTAGCGATTTGACAAACAAGGAATGCAGCATTTGAATTTTGCTGTCTTAGCATGAAGTGAGTGTTTAGCTTTTGGGGCATTTCAGATTTGAGGAGCTGATGCTAAAGACAGCCTTGCAATTTTTTGGATGTGTTAGGAAATGTGTCTTCTTCTGCCCATTTCCCAGTTTGATCTGCTGGTTTCTATGCCACTGGCTGAAATAGTGGTAGTGGGGATGATTTGGTATATGATTTGGGGTTTTGTTCCATGACACACACACGCAAGTGGATACCCAAATCCATTTATGTTCAATTTCAGTTATACATTGTGGTTCAGTAATATGCTGCCCCTTATACAAAATGGCAAAATCAAGATTTGCTTTTTGGAACTTTCTGCATGGATACAGAATTCCTGGTTATGGAATGGGGATGGTAGTTTTTCTTGAACCTGTTTTATTAGGATTAAGCAACATACGTTGTGTGTTGAGATTCCTAACTGGGTACTGTAGTTCTTGTTCCGGTTGTCTAAATTGAAAAGCACTATAGGGAAGTGAAACTGAGACTATCATATTTTGGACGTATCATGGGAACACATGAATCATTTTAAAAGACAATAATATTTGGTAAAATGTGGAGGATGAGGATGAAGTCCACATTGTAGATGGATGGACTCAGTCAAGGAAATCAGGGACCTAAGTTTGCAAGACCTGAGCAGGGCTGTTGCTAACAGGGTGGCATAATCTCTTGTTAATAGTGTCATCATAAGTCAAAGTAGAGTTGATGTCCATTAATAATAGGGGAGCATATGTTGCATGGTGTGGAAATATATTTATTTATTAAGGCATTTCTACCCCTGCCTTTCTCCATCCCAGAGGGGACTCAAGGTGACTTACACATAGGCAACTATTTGATGCCACAAAGCAAGGTACAATTAAAATAAACATTAAAATAAAATTATAAAATACATTAAAATAATTAAAAACATTGAACACAATATCTTCACAATTAATCGTGTGATCCTTAAGCGTAATCCGGGCCATTCCAATAGTCATTGCACATCATTCCATATCAATCTATTGTACAAGTTCTCCAAAGGCTTGGCCACAGAGGCATGTTTATCACTCTCTTATGGAAGATATATCTTGTAGTATGTGGAACAATCTTTCAATAAGTGGGGCAAGAGTAGGATAGCATAGCTAGTAATGGGGTGGCGAAAATTGTAGTCCAAAAATATTTACAGGGTCACCTGTTCCTCATCCCTGGCTTGGGGAAAGTGCTTGTGTTACTGAAGGCTTGTGCTTAGTTTCTTCCTTTCTCCTCCATTCCCAATTTCTATTGCAGCTCTTTTTTCTATGCCTTCCTGAATCTACTGGTCAGCGCCTTTGTGGTATTTATCATCTTTATTGCCAGCACTATTGTGACTGTTGGCTTCAACATGTGGTGTGATGCTATTACTGAAAAAGGAAGCATGCCAAATAGGTGAGTACTGTTGTACTGTTGGAAGAAATAGGGAATGTTGTGTTTCTTTTTAAAAAAACAAACAGTTTCAACCAAGAAAGATATCACTGGAAAGAAGCAAAGTTACAGTTACAAGAGCAAGGAAAACAAACATGAAGAAATATATCCCAGAGACTGTCTCCAAAGGTATGACTTGTTCAAGCAAGGCTGACAAAAGTGTTTTCAGGCTATGACTCCCACATGCCCTTAGGTACTATGCCCATTGGATATCCTAGTTGGAGGATTTAGGGAGCTATAGCCATAAAATTCTAGAACCATAGATTTGGAAGGGATCCTATGTGCCATCTCATCCAATTCTTTGCTAGTATGGAAATCTATTAAAACTACATGTGATAAGGGTCTAGGAGTCTTAGTAGACATCAAGCTGAACATGAGTCAACAATGTAATGCCACAAAAGCCAATGTGATTCTAGGCTGCATCAATAGGACTAGATTGAGGGATGTAATAGTACTACTCTATTCTGCTTTGTTCAAAATTTACCTGGAATAACAATGGCCTGTTCTGGACAACACAATTCAAGAAGAATAGTGACAAGCTGGAAAGTGTCCAAAGGTGGGTGACCAAAATGGTCAAAGGTTTATTAACCATGCTGTATGAGGAATGGCTTAAGATGCTTGATATGTTTAGCCATGAGAAGACATAGTTAAGAGGTGGCATGAGAACCATTTTTAAATATTTAAAGATTGAACCAGATTATTTTCTGCTGCTCCAGAAACTAGAACACTGAGCACTTCACTTCACTTCACTTTATTTCTTAATTCGTCGCTCTCCACCAAGGTGCTTCAAGTGACTTACAATCTAAAATAGCATTTACACAATATAAAACCATTCAACATAAAAACATTCAACAGTGACTATTTGGCAAATTAGATCTGATTACTTAAATGCACAACCAAACAGCCAAGTCTTGAGTGCCTTTACAAAAGGTCGCAGCTCCGACATTGCTCTAATGTATGGAGGCAATGAGTTCCACAGAATTGGAGCATAGGTCGAAAAAGCTCTACGCCTTGTAGCTTCCAGGTGTACCTCCCTAGGGCCCGGTATGTATAGGAGATTTTCCTGGGTGGATCAAGGTGACCACTGATGGAGAAAAGGAATGAGGCGGTCCCTAAGATATAAAGGTCCTTTGTCATTTTGAGCTCTAAATGTCAGGATCAGTATCTTGTAAGAGATCCAATGTTCTATTGGTAGCCAATGCAGTTGTTGCAGAATCGATGTGATATGGGATCTTATAGAGCAGTGGATCTTATTGAGCAGTGGATCCACACGATGACAATGAAAACAAAAACAACAAGAAGATTCCACCTAAATACTATGAGGAACCTCCCAAATGTAAGAGCTGTTTGACAGTGGAATATCCTGCCTGGGAGTGTGTTGGACTCAGATTTTAAACAGAGGTTGTATAGTCCTGGATGGCCTTTGGTGGTTTCTTCCAAATCTATGTTTCTATGGTTATACCCTTAGACTTTTCTATTCCAGAAAGGTATTCCCTGCCAAAATTAGAGAAATTGCTTCTTAAAATCCATTGCCTTTAAAAACTAGATGGCTACATCATGATGAGAGAGTTGTAATTTTTCCAAATATCTCCATTCTGTTTGAGTCAGAGAAACAAAGGGTTTGTAGAGTTCTTTATTGAGAATGCTGCCCAATCTTGCCCCTTGAGAAACATAACTGGATTATTTTAAGGATTTTTTTTCTACGTGATGTTTATGGGAAATTCTTTCCCACAAAATCTAGATGGTTTAAGGATCTCTAGAAATTAAAATGGAATGTAAGAATTTGGGACCTACATTTTGCCTAAGAATGCAGAATCCCAAGCATGAAATGTTATTAATTCAAAACTACAAGTGGGAGAGAACGGTTGGGTTGGGTTGTCCTGGCTCACATTTGAACAGAGCATGGAATGTCACTTTTTGGCATTTCAGTACCTTAATCCTCCAGCTACAATGGCAAAGGACTATTCTTGATTATGGATTCAGAGAGTCCAAACATTAACTTTTCCAAACTCTGAATTTGAACTGACATGAGCAAATTTCTGGTAGCAGAGAAATGTTTTTACTACATGTTGTGTAGCATAAACCCCCAACAGTTTTCCAGGGTATTCTATCACTTTTCATTTCCTATTAGAAATATAAATATCTATTTGGAGTTTTTTTTTAAAGCCAGTATGTGCTTGATAATAATGTAGTAGATAAAAAGTGACATTTTATGTCATATGATATAGATTAATGACACTGATAAAGCATTAATTTTATGTTTCACCTTGTCATATGTTGTAAAATGCCATTAGTGAATGTTCTGTTTAGGGCTGCAACGATTATTCGAATATTCGGTTTAAAATGCTCTCTGGGTTTTTTGGTGAAAAAAACCCTGATTGACAAATCGAATGTTCGGATAAGCATCCAAGATGGCTGACCACACTGGAAAGGCGAGAAAGAGAATGAAGAGAGAGAGAGAGAAAGGCCTTCCGAAGCCTCAAAAAAACCTGGATATTTTTCACAGCACGAAGTAAAATTCCAAGTTGTTTGTTTAAAATAAATAAACAAACAAAATCTGTAGGCAGATCTTTTCTAACCGACACTTTGCTCTGGAGCATCTGAAACCAAAACCCCGCAAAAACTCCCTTCTTCTGAAGTCTTCTCTTGTGATGTCAAAAGGTAATGGAGGCTCCTAAAATGGGTTGTTGGGTTAGTGCCACAGTGACTGTGGGTGGTTTGTGGGTGGGACATAATAAAAGGGGAACTGCTGGCATATTTTTTTAACTTTATTAAAAACCTTTTTAAAGTTTGAAGGGCTTTTCATGGATTTTGTTTTGTTTTATACATCCCCATTATTCTAATTCCTCATATTCTTTAGAAATTTCCAAGCATTGATATAGTGTTGTCCTATTTACAGTTAAATCAGCCCACCACATTCACTGGAGTTACAGGCACCATACCAATGAAAGTGAAAAACTTGAATAAAAACCAATAATTTTATTGCACTTTTTGTCTGTTGGTATTATATAAATCTCAGTTAATACATTTTTTTTCAAAATTATTTTTTAACCTAAGAGAATACCTCTGTAGGAATTTCTTAAGTCCTCTAGCACAACTGCAAGGTCAACTTCAGCTGGAGATTTAACTAGTCTTGTGCATTTGTATAGAATCACTATCCATTTCTGTTTGTTCCATTTGTAAGACCCCTGTCTTCATTTTTGAGCACCTACGAAAAGCGGGTGCCTTTCCGAAGGGGCGTTTTTGTTCCTTGGCCAAAAATACAATAATTTTCACTCCATTGGCACAATGGGCAGGCTTTCCCAGGCTTTCCTTCCCCTCAGTTTTAGGGTTAGAGGAGTGAAAATCACCACACATGGAGGGCACATCTATCATTTTTGGCCCCCCAAGTTTTATAACATTTGTTTCATCCCCCAATTTTTAGGGATATTTTCTTTCTATAAATAAAATCTCCTTAAAAACATTCCCTCCCCCCACTGGCCGCACCCTCCAACTTCTCCAAGAGCAGCAGCAGGAGGGAGGCAGGGCACCAATCCTTCTTGCCAAATGCCAAAGATGCTCCACACACCACACACACAACCAAGTGTCCAGCCCCACTATTTCACTTCTTTAACTGGCAGCTCGATGGGAAATTCCCCTCCCCTTCCCATCATTTTTGGCAATGGCATGGTTTATCCTTATATCCTTCATTAAGAACTGGATTAAAAGCATCAGAGTTACTTAAGATACCACTATTTCTGTGATGCTTTTCTCTTCATCTGCAGAAGAAACTAGTTTGAAAAACAGGGCTTAAGCTACCACTATTTCTGTGATGCTTTCCTCTCTGTCTGCAGAAAAGAACTTGGTTTAAAGACAGGTTATAAGCTACTACTATTTCTGTGATGCTTTTCGCTCCATCTGCCAAAGAGAATTGGGTTTAAAGATAGGCTGTGTAAGGAGCACGTGGCTCGAAAAGTGGGCAACAAAACATTACCTGTTCCCACTTTTTTCATTTCGAGGTTATTTTCATACCAGAAAGGAGAGGACCATTTTGTGCCCCTTGAATGAAACAAATCAAATGAAACAACGAATGAAATGAGACAAACGGGTACCATGCACAAGTCTAGTTATAATCCTAAAGGCAAAGAGGGTCCTTTAGAATTATAATTCCCAAATGCCTCATCCTGGCTGGGAATTGTAATCTAAAATCTAGGTTTTCCAGGCCCTGTAATGAACAATCCCTTGATCCTCGTGTGTTGCTTTGTTGTTGTGAAGGGGTACAAAATAATAACTGAATGGAAAACTATTCTGTGAGCAGTGCTTTTTTTTTGCCCTTTTTTGGAGGTCTCTTTCCCATGGATGCTTTTGAGAAGTCCACAAATAAGGATGATGGCAACAACCTTTGTTTATTGTTTCTTTGATCATCTGGTCTTTAGAGAAATGCTATTTCTGGGAAAAAAACAATCCAGCAACTGAGGAGAACCTCCAGAAGGAGACTGAAAATGTCCCAGTCTTGATTTCATTGTATTTCCCCAAATCTCATTTGCATTCTCATCCCATATTTTGTGTATTTTTGGCATCCAAATACACATTTTTGTATACATTTTAGTCCATATTTTTGTATATAGGTCTTCATTGAGCAAGGGGTGTGCTTATCTTATTATTGTGCACTTATTTTAAGGGGTTTCTGCTTTTTTAAAAAAAGTATTCAAGGCTTGTGAAATTTTATATATATCAAGTGTCCCAAGGTTTTGAGTTTCTGAAGCAGGTTACACTTTGGATTTTATCACACAAGGCTAATAAAGTGCAGATATAGCAGGATGAAAGTGCTTTTGGGTGGAACTTAGCACCTCTCCTGTAGTTGAATTGTGCTTAAATCATGATTGGATTGTCTCTATTCATTGACATGAAAAATACCCATCAATGAATTCAACATTGCTGTCCTTCCACCAGTCTTCCTTGTAAAATAATGTTCATTCTGCTGCAATCCCAATATTACAATGAAGAGAAATGTCTTGGGGGGCGGGGAGGAAGACAGGTTTTGGAGATTGCGAGAACTGTACAAATTTGTGGTTGCAACAAAATGGGGAAAGATGGAAAATAGGCAAAAACCACAGTGCACATTTGTTAGGTAGGAAGCAAGACTGTGGAAGAATGTTTATGGGAATCTGCATAAACAAAGTTTCAGAACTGCACAATTATAGTAAGATGTGAAAATGATTGTTCCAATTATGTATTTTTTTCATTTGTTTAAAGCAGGGGTCCTCAAACTTTTTAAACAGAGGGCCAGGTCACAGCTCCTCAAACTGTTGGAGGGCCGGATTATAATTTGAAAAAACATGAATGAATTCCTATGCACACTGCACATATCTTATTTGTAGTGCAAAACCCACTTAAAAACAATACAATAATTAAAATGAAGAGCAATTTTAACAAATATAAATTTATTAGTATTTCAGTGAGAAGTGTGGCCTGCTTTTGGCTGATGAGATAGGATTGTTGTTGTTGTTGTGTGCTTTCAAGTCGTTACAGACTTAGGTTGACCCTAAATGACCTTGGAGGGCCGCATCCGGCCCCCAGGCCTTAGTTTGAGGATCCCTGGTTTAAAGAATGTAATTGCAACGAGAGAACAGGCTGGTGTGATAAAATCCTTTGTCTTATAATGAATCTCATGAAGTTCAAGATGATTTTTGTGTGTGTTGAGAAACTTGACCCCTACAATGGTCTTTCTTTTTGCCCCTAGCAAGAACTTTCTCCTGCCAAGTCTTTTCAACTTGCGCTCACTTGAAAAATCCCTTGAATGGCACAAGTCTTGAATATGTTGGTTGTCATGTGTGTATGCCACTCTTTTGTTGGCCATTTTGAAAGACCTTGGCAGTCCTTCACCTGACCTCCAGAAGACAGATTCACACAATTTCTCTCTTGCTCTTAATCTCTAGGAAATTGGAAAGAATGACAAGATTTGGGAAAGCATTAGAAGGGAGGTTGACATTTTGGCCCTTGCTTTGTTATATCTTTCCTTAGATGAAACTTCAGAAAGCTCTGTCTAGCTTAATGGCACACTCTGGGTATATTTGTCTGTGTTTTCAAGGATAGCAGACTGATTGTTTTGTAATGAAGGCATTGTCATCCAGTGGTCTTATATACAGCAGTGGGGTATTGCTGCTAGAAAATGAAGCTTTATAGAACAGGATTTAGAGGCCTGTTTCAGCTGAAGCTAAGGTCATTTGGAATTGCTGAAATGATTTTTGTTTCTTTCCTTTTCATCCAAACTGCTTTCTCCCTCCAGCTGTGAAGAATTACAGGATATAGATCTTGAGCTGAATTTAGAAAACTCAGCATTCTATGATCAGTTTGCCATCACACAGGTAAGTCAGATCACAGTGCCCAGAGCCTCTCTGTTCATTGAACTGACAAATTGTCACATTGGAAAAGATCTTTAAGTTATTTAGTCTATTTCTACACACTGAAGTATCATTCTTTGAACCCAATTTCACCTGATGTCAATTCACACATATATACCATTTGGACTGGCCTGGATTTCAGTGTATGGAAGTGTCCTTAGACTTCATTTATACTATAGAATTAATGCAGTTTGACACCACATAATTTTAGAAAGTCTTTAGCCTTCATTGCCAAACAATGCTGGCATCTCACAAAATCCCAGGATTCCATAGCAGTAAGCCATGGCTGTTAAAGTGGTGTCAAACTTCATTAATTCTACAGTATGGATGTACCAATAACTTACAGAAATGAAAAAAGGAACAATGTAGTTCGGTGTCAGTATCTGTATGTGGACACACAGATAAAACTGAATTCATTTGCCCTTCATGACCTCTTATAATGAATATGCATATTAGTTCTTAGAATATTAGAATAATATTCTAATTTCTGGGAAAACTGGCAGCTCCTCTTTGGCCTATGGTTCCCTGAATTTCATAGGCAGGGAAATTGGTTTCACAGGTAGGTTTAGCAGTGGGCCTTAGAATATTTGTCTACTCTTCACTAAAGCTAATCTAGAACAGGGTGATGGATATTTTCCAGGGACATTTGTATTTCTTGAGAAAAACAGTTATTGTGTTGTGTTGTGAGTGTGGGCTTAAAAGAATATGTGTGTAGAAGGAATCCTTTGCCTCAAGTGGTTTGTCTTCAGGCATGGCATTGTGTAGCCACTTCTCATTGGCTTCATGGTGCAATGTCATGATGATGATGATGATGATGATGATGATGATGATGATGACAATGATGATATATTTATAGACCGTCCTATCTCCCTGGAAGGACTCAGGGCAGTTTCTAACACATGTGGCAAACATTCAATGCCAACAAAGAGACATATAACAATACATCAAAACATGACACATCACAAAAAATAGGTAGCCATTACTATAAACTTAATACCAAATAAAAATTAACCAAAATTAAAACTAAACAATCCTAACAGACATAAGCACGTAATATGAATTTAAACAGAATAAGAATTTAAACAACTAAAATCTTATCAAGAGATAAAATATTTGCTGCCAAGCTTAGATCACTTCCAATATCTAAACAGGGTTTAGTATATCTAGACGATGCTATATGACAAGACGTATTAATCTTCTTCCTCTACGTATGCCAGATTGCATAGATGTATTTTAGCAGCTTTTGAAGGTGAGGAGAGAGGGGACAGATTTTAGTTCTTTTGGGAGGGAGTTCCAGAGGCGGGAAGCAATCACAAAGAAGGCCCCGTCTCTCATTCCCACAAGCCATGCTTGAGACCGGATGGGACTTGAGACCTGGGCCTTCTGCACAGATCATTGTGCTCGAGCTGGTTTGTAACAGAGATGTGGTTCTGCAAATAGTCTGGACCTGATACATTTGGAGTTTTATTTTGACCAATATGTGGTACCTTATTTACTTGATTGAGAACATAGTGCCCCCATTCTGAATTGGCTTTGGTTATCATCAGTGATGCTATCTCACCATCCAATCTCAAGATGAATACTATTTGTTTGCTTGTTTTGAAATGGTTCCAAAGCAACATTGGACCCACAAGCATGTGACGAAAAGAAGTGAGCAAGAGAATCAAGCTCTTGGTTGAGACAGTCTTCTGTTAAAACCCTCCCAAACTCACTTGGAAAATAACTATTTGAGAAAAAGTGCCTACTCTGAAGTACAACCTAGAATTGCTTTATTGTGATGTTCTCTTTCTCTCTCTTTCTCTCTCATCTAGTTCGGTCTCTGGGCTGCCTGGCTAACCTGGCTAGGAATTACAATTTTGGCTTTTTTGAAGGTTTATCACAACTACAGGCAGGAAGACCTTCTGGATAGCCTGATTCATGAGAAGGAGCTTTTGCTAGGACGATCCTCTTCACGAACTTCTTTCCAGGAGGAGAAAAGTGGCATGATCTAATGGGCAGATAACACCACTAGTTTACCCAGCAGGTTTTAGGTTTTGTAATTAGACTGTGAGGATTTGAAAAAATATTATTGACATGCTTTTGAAAGCTTTAAGAAAAGAAAGGGAATCTGATATCTTTAGGAATGTCCCAACTGATGCAACCCATAAGGATGGTTCACTGAGGCATGTTCATCTCATGTAATTGCTGGACAAGTTTCTTTCAAATATTCAAACTATATGTCCAATAAAAGGTATTCTGTTATTGTTGGCATAAGGTATATCTGAGGATTAATTCATGATTACTCATTTACACATGCAACCCCTGCATTGATACTACAGTTAAGTTGTGATGAACATCTACACGTGAACCAATCCATAAACAGTAAACTGTGTACAATTCTTTGATAAAATTTCATAATATTGTCATAATCAGTTTGCTTACTTTTGAGTATAGGCGTTAGAGTTGGAGACTATGACTTATATTCCTTCTCAACATGTTTGAAGGCAGAAGCTAAGTTCACCCACTCAGGTGGCCTCAATTCTGTTTTGGGGACATAGGATTGGATCCAGTACTTAGAGAAGATTTACTGAAATCAGTAAAGAAAGTAAGTCCTAATTCGTTTAAGAACCATTGATTTTTGTGGGTCTTCTCTAAGCACAACTAAATCTGGCTCTAACCCAATGTCATTAATGATGTGGGCACTCCACAGCAATGATCAATCATCATGATAACTATTTAATATATATCTCCCCCCAAAAGTGAAGGAATATAGGCTGGAAATTGTGCAAATCAAATATCCAGATAATAAGATATCTAGAGTGTCCACATCATGCATGGTTATTTATTTATTTATTTATTTATTTCGGTATTTTGATATTTATATATTTCTGTATGTGTGTATTTATTTTATATCCTGCCTTTTAGTACAGGAGCCAAGGATGCTGTTTTTCTGGTGATGGGGGTGTATGTATTTTCCCTCCTCCATCATCTGAAAGCTCATGTGATCCAGTGGGTGGATGAACTAGAGCAGTGGTTCCCAACCTTTGGCTCTCCAGGTGTCTTGTACTTCAGCTCCCACAGTTCCTAACAGCTTGCAAGCTGGCTGGGATTTCTGGGAGTTGAAGTCCAAAACACCTGTAGGCCCAAAGTTTGGGAACCACTGAACTAGAGATTGCAAACTTTGCAGACTCATGCTGGAGGGATATCTCAGTAGGAATCTGCAGCCTGGTTTGATGAAGTTGCATCCAACTTTTGATCCCCCAGGTTTTTGGGACTCCAACTCCCAGAAGCCCTGGTCATCTTGTCCAGTGCTCAGGAATTTTGGGATCTGAAGTCAAAAACACCTGCAGGACCAAGGCTTGGACACCACTGGCTTAAACTAATGGTTCTTAAGCTTTGGTCCTCCAGGAATTTTGGACTTCAGTTACCAGAATCACAAGCTGCTTAGAACATCTGGATAAAGATCCAAAATACAATGAAACCAAAGTTTGAGAACCATTGGCTTAGACAACATTTGAGTTCATTTCTGTAAGTCCAACTCTTACTGCTTCCAAGGCACAAGGCCAACTTAAAAGAACAGGGAAGACTAAACCTCACATTGGAAATACACCCGGAGGTCACATCATACAATCTCATGCATTGTGAACTATAGGGATGAAGGGATTGCTTTTAAATGGTGTACCTCCTCCAGTAAATTACGCACAGCAGCCATTGTACACAGGATTCAGCTTTCAACAAATGCTGCCCTGATCTCTTGATCATCGTGGCCATATGCTGAAAGTGTTTTATGTGCTGACATGCTAAAAATGTTCCAGTATTATACCAGTTGTTCAGTCATGTGAATAAGCAGCTCTGGTCTTCTCTAAATTGTCAGCATTATCTTGGTTGTTCAGTATGTTTGCCTGTGTGTTCAGATTATGCATAACTACAATATGAACATAGTCACTGGAACTTTTGTTTTTTTTCAGCAACGCTGAAGCTAACTGCCATATTAATTCACAACTGAAAAAACCCTTTCTCTATGATAACATAGTCTGAGATTTCAGAAAATGGAAAACTGAATAAGAAAAATACTGAAATGTTTTCCAAAGATGAGGCCTCTTGAAAATATCCCTGACTTGTTATTTGCCAAAACAAAAACAAAAAACAAAACAAACAAACCCACAATCAAAAAGAACAAAGGATCCTTTTGTTGAAACACATGTCTTGCCATCAGTGGCCAAGCAGAAAATGTGCAAATCTGATTGTTTTTGTACCTTAATCTTTGTTTTCATATTCAATCTTTTTTGTAAACAACTTGTGCTCCTAATAGAAATTACCCTAGAAGGATAGACAATTAGAAACATTTTAGCTTATTGTAAGAGTTGGGGTGGGTGGGGTGGATAGGACATTACATTATATTAAGTGTGCTTTGTAGATCTTCTTGAGAGATCACCAAGTGCACTTTGACTTAGCATCAGCTTTGAGGTTTGCATGTGAAATATATAATTTATTGCTTGCTCAAATGTAGTCAGCGAGGCAATGGTGAACAATTTGCCTTGTAAGCAGTTGATATATAATGCCTGCTTCTTCATATATGCAACTAGAAACTTAGTGATATAGTCAACTTTAGTAGTGCTCTTTGTGATATTGTTCTCATAAAGTGTGTGAAATCATTATAAGATTACTGCTTCTAAGAGCACAGCTCTATGCTTAAAATAATGGTATTTAGCTGAGGAGTCAATTCATGGTTGAACAGGGATACTTTCTCTCTTTAGCTCAAACTACCACAAATGATTGTTGTAATCTAAGGAATTTTGCACACCTCTGAATGTTGGAATTAGGATTTCTTTGCAGAATCCAGGATAATTCCCACTGATGTTATAGATCAGGAATGGGCAAACTTTGGACCTCCAGGTGTTTTGGACTTTAACTCCCACAATTTTGGGCTTCAGCTCCAACTTCGGACCTCTAGGTGTTTTGGACTTCAACTCCCACAATTCCTAACAGTCTGCCGGCTGTTAGGAATTGTGGGAGTTGGAGTCCAAAGCACCTGAAGGGTTGAAGTTTGCCCATGCCTGTTACAGATGAAACTTTGGTCAGTTCTAACCATGGTCATTTCTCTGCTATAAATCTTTCCCAAAGAATTCTGACAAAGAATGTTGGGTTGGGAATAAAATATAAACTATGGCCAATTGGATGTTCTCTCCTTCCACTTTTAAAAAGTAGTATAAATTAATTTTATTGTGAGCCACTGAAATCAACCAATTGCATACAAAGTAACAATTGTAGTTAAAATGGATATAAAACTTCACAAATATACAGTAGAGTCTCACTTCTCCAATATAAACAGGCTAGAAGAACGTTGGATGAGTGAAAATGTTGGATAATAAGGAGGGATTAAGGAAAAGTCTATTAAACATCAACGTTCATTATGAATTTACAAATTAAGCACAAAAACATAATGTTTTACAACAAATCAACCAAAAAAAGCAGTTTAATACATAGTAACATTATGTAGTAATTACTGTATTTACAAATTTAGCACCAAAACATTGCAATGTATTGAAACAGCAGTGGATCTGGGGGGGAGGTAGATTGCGTTGGACAATACAGAAGGTTGGATGAGTGAAGGTTGGATAAGCGAGATACTACTATAACACCAACCTCTTTATACAATCTTAGATCTTTTACAAAATTTTAGACCTTTTTTTCCCTGTGCAAGCTCTATCATTTGGAATCCATTTTCATTGGAAATGTGTAAGATTAAGTCTTGGCACGGAAAGCTGTTTCAGTAAACATAAACCAGTGTAAACTTGATGGTACTTTACTGCTGATTTGAGTCTTTATTGCATATTCACAATGAGGAGGATGAATGTTTTGATTACTAAATCTGTGCTTGTGATGTGGATCTTTCTGAACCTAATTTTTGTTTACGTAGGGGAAAGCTGTTGATAAAGTGTTAAAAGATGTATCTGTGAAATAGATGCAAAGGGTTTTTACTTGCAATGGAACAACTTACATTTATAATAACAACAACAATAAAACTTTATTTATATTCTGCTCTATCTCCCCAAAGGGACTCAGGGTGGAAATTTTGGCAGCCCTACCTTAATTACTATATAGCAAGTATTCCAGTGAATATGTAATTTTGAAATTTGGTCCTTACTTTCAAAACAGAAAAATAGAATTTAAATGCTTGAGATGGGACATGATGACCCCAAATATTTGAAATAATTCATTTATTTGCCAGGCATTTGGCATCCCCCACAATCCTTGAACTTGTCAGTAGGCTCATAATTTATAAGGGAAAATATATCTGTATTTTAGGAATCTGGCTCCATTTTGTCTACTTGCATTCAAGACTTAGAATTGGGATATTGAAATAGATTCAACATTAATCAATCAAAATTAAAAGCAAAAGATTTGAGATTACAGAATAGAATTTATATTTATTCCAGCACTCATTGAATGTACATTCCAGACTTGCGTTGTTTTTTTAAAAGAATGTTTATTCATTGTTCAGTTGAACATGAATAGTATGATATGTACTGGACAACAATTTAGTTAAAAAATTAAATGCACATTCCTACTTATTTAATATGGAACTGAAGAGGGAGTTGTTTTCTCTGTGCAGCAAACTGTAGCTATTCTTTTGTTAGAGTAAGTTGTATTCCTGCAGCAAAATGGATGTAGCAAGGCATATTCTCCTGATCTGAACTAAAGGCCATATTACCATTGTATTTTCTTTGTTTTTTGTGTGGATGGAGGGTTGCCTAAAATACATATTGTTGGTGATAGTTAATAAATATGTTTTCTATTAAATGTTTCTCCCTGCCCCCAAAAGCACATTGGGCTTCTGATCTGGTGCCATATATTAATAAATTGTCTGAAAGATTTTTGTGGTTTTGGTATTTCCTTTATAGTGAAGGTGGACGATCACAGATAAGCGTTCCTGTTCCCTGTCTCTTCAGGTGGGTATGAGGAAAATGGCACCATTCCTTTAAATGACGACATTGCATATACGTAACTCAGCATACATCCACCCCCAAAATATCTCCTTTGCTAGAGATACACAGGGGAGGCTCAACCCATTACGCAAAGTAAGCATTTGCAGTATAGTTGATTTTGCCCAGGGGCGCTCTTGAGGCGCTCCTGGGGGAAAATAGACCTTGACATATGTGAGTTATAGTTACTGGGATGTATAGTTCACCTACAATCAAAGAGCATTCTGAACTCCACCAATGATGGAACTGAACCAAATATGGCACACAGAACTCCCATGACAAACAGAAAATATATATCAATGATTGGTTGGGGGGGGGGGGCACCAAAATACTGTTTGCTTACTGTTGAAAATTAGCTAGGGCCGCCACTGGAGATATCATCTTTCAAGAGTGATTGCGTGTTTGTTCTGCATGGACCTTGTGGTCTCTTCCAATTCTATGGCTTTGTGTGTGGAAATGC